TAGCAGAAACTTCAAGGAGTGAAGCAGCGAGGGTTTCGCACCAACATTACGACAACGCGTCTTGCGGTCTGAGGCTGGCATCATCTGCTAAGTTTAGCGTTCTGCTCTTTCATTTGCCTTGAGAGTCCGGCGTCGTGTAGTCATTGTACGAAGGTCGTTAGTCTTCTCAGTAATTCCTGTTGTATCTGTGCTTTTGCCTTTCAGACTAACCAGGAGATTCATTTGCGGGCCGTGGAGGCATTAGCGATGCTACCGTTCCCGTTCTCAGAAAAGGAATAACAATGGTGGTAGTAGTAGCAGGACAACAGAGGTTCAGAGGAAATTACTCGCCGTTAGAAACAGCTAGTTCAGTAAATCTAACCCGGAATTATTCAGGACAAAAAAAAGTTCCGTTTTATGCAGGATTGTCCTACAACGGACAATCCTGCATAAAACACATTAGTGATATTAATATTTTTAAGAAGCCGTTTTTAAGGAAATGGCGTTTGTGCGTTTTTGAAAATGAGGAATTTTGAGCTCATTTTCACAGAAGACTGTTTAGTTTTCGAGAAAAATTATCTGATATTATTTAAAGCACATGAATTCATAAATACAATAATGTTAATAAATTGTCGTTACTACAAATATCAAAGACGTCAGAGACAAATCATAAAAAAAATCAGGAAAAAACTCAAGTTTTTGCAATTTTCAAAATTCTGATTTAACAGTGAAAATCGGACCTATACCACCAGTGCCTATGTATTTTACTGTAATCGTGCTAGAAATTTGAAACAAAAATGTGGAGCCGTTTTTGAAAAAAAATTGAAATTGACCAGGGGGCTTCCTATATAGTACCCGCACATTTTAAAGAATGTTTTTCAAAATCTAAAAGCTTCGACTTGAGCCACAAATGTAAATTTTTTGGAAGATGTCTCACGGCGTTGATATGCACATTTCCAGCGATTGGTAAACACTATTGTTTTTTTGAGTTAAAGTACTTAAAATGACTTCAAATGAAGTTTTTTCGAAAACTCAAAATGTTCTGTAAAAAAGAGCTACAAATTTGGAATTTGCAGTAGCGCGTAAACGCCATTTTCTCAAAAACGCCTCCAAATTTTTCAAAGAAAATAATTATTTAGGACGAGGTTTTACTGTTCTATAATAATCGTAAATAATATTTCCGCTCTACTATTAGGAAACCGGCGGTGATAGATGTCAGCAGACACGAATATGTGGCACATTCGAGCAGCTAGCAGAGATCAAAGGGAATGGAAAACTAATACGGGAAAGTCTGTGCCATTCTGTAGTACCACCAGTTTTGTTTTGGAGTATTTTAATTAATAATATATTAAAAATAATGCTTTTTGCGATAATGTTATATCTGAATATTTAAAAATTAGTTTTTACTATTCTCACCACTGCAGCAGCTGGGAAGAATACTTTTCGGGATAAAATAATGTCCCCACTTCCACATTTTCACTATCCTTTTTTCTCACCAATATCCGCGCTTAAAAATATTACCACAGAAATACTTACATATAAAAGGACGCGGAATAACTGAATGCGCTTGCAGTGACACCGTACTAATTTTAAATGAAATGTTCTAAAATTAACTGCAAGTACTGCCAATATGATATATTTATCTACTAACAACAGATACACTATGACTTTTAGATCTCACCTTATACTAGCGGACTAAAATGTAACATTACTCACTTCTCAAAGTAAATTAAAACTCATTAACAAATGATTACTGATAAATCATGTATAAAGTAAAAAACAAAAACATCACGCGCTCTCAACGTCGTTGAGGGTTGTTTTTTGAAAATTTCCTCGTAATCATAAAACCCGCCCAAAACCGCACTTATTTTGTTGCATTTCAAGCCCAAGAAGCGGAATTCCGCCCAATCTGGCAACCCTACACAATGCGTCTGCCACGATTAAACTGTGATTTTTCCTTCTCAGCCCCTATTAGCTGTTACCATTTTCATCCAAACGGAAGATTAAACGTCACCATAGCGACGTCACTGTGGTGACGTTCAAGTTCCGGTTGGGATGAAACAGCTGATATCTGCCAGGGGCTGCGTAGGGAAATTTGCAGCATAAATCTCGAGTCACAGGGGTAGAGAATTTAAAACTGACTTGCAGATGCATTAATTTTATTGAGAACATCTCGCGTCTCTCTGCCAATTGCTTTAAATTCACAGAAACTCCGCTCCAAAAATGTTTCCACCCCTTGTAGGACATGAAAAACCTTTCCGTTTTGGCGTTGACCATGTTCCGTTTTATGCTGAGTAAAACGCTATATAACTTCACGGGCAGGAGAAATTTTCCGGTTAAAGCAGATTTCCGGGTTGTACAGGTTGCGGTTTATACATACTTTATTGTATAAATACTTCTTACGTGTTTTATTTTTCAAATATTTCCTGACTTATTTAGAACTATCTTTACTTGGCCTCCTCACCAACAACGTCATATGAGTATTATGAGTTGGTGATAGGATACACTCTTTTATGAAATAGTGATTTTGAAAACAAAAACTTAAAATTTAATAATATTGCGGCAAAAATGTGACTCCTAAACAAGAAGAAATTAGTCAACATGTTCCGATTCGCCCTAATTACAAAAATAATGTTTCGGACGCAGAAAAATTTCTTTTCATGTAATATACTTTATTAAATCCATAACGAAATGCTGTAACGGTCACTTTTTAGTGTTTGAACGTGTTAAAACTATCGTGTGAAAAAAGTATTATTTATCTACTAATAGTTTTCTCTGTGAAGAGAAGCGCCAACTTGTCACTGTTCCCTCCGCGAACGAATTCTGCCTTCGCGGAAACCAGTCGTATACAATTTACAGAGGGATATCCAGATCGCGTTCTACGGAACAAATGCGTGTGAAGCCCGCTTTCCCAGGAAACCGATATGTCGGCCTTCCCGGACTTGACCGTACGTCCAGGAGATACACAATTTAAACAAGTCACATCACAGAATTAAATGTAATTAATGGATGTGCTCTATAATAGAATCATAACTGCAAATATTTTGGTGAATCCTGAGAGTAAAATTAGATGTTCTAGAGATTGAAAATTGTATTTTCATGTGGTATCTAAAACAATCCTATGAGAACGTGTTTAAAATGATCTTTGAAACGTATTATATTCGTTGGAATTAAATTATTCTAGTTATTTGGGATTCTCGAATGTATTTGGTTATTTTCTGTTGATAATATTAAATGATATTTTTGCCGATATTCTTTTTATTTTTAAAGTTTACTTTTTCTTAGGCCATGTACGAACCACGTACTCAGGAAAAACTGTTCCTCGCCTTGGTTGTGAAAGCATCTCCACTCGACATTACTTCCTTGTATATACCTCCACGCATTAGGCTAATCCCCGACCGAAACGTGTCCCTCACGTCGGTTCGGATCCTCTCCAAACATCCGCTGATGCGCGCGAAAAATGCGAGCGGGGGGGGGGGCATGGAAATGAGGTGGCCGTTTGGAACGCTTCGCAGCGGCCAGTGCAGGGAGTGCGTTTTACGGAAGCGCAGGCACATGTACGAAGCGCGGCTGGCGGAGGCATATGCAACGAGCGCTCGCAGGCGGGGCGCGACAAGCGTAAAACACCGCACCGAACGCGGCCGGCGCGCCCCGCCCCGCCCCGCCCCGCCCGCCCGAGCCGCTTCTCTCGGAGCCTTCTACGCCTCCTGCCGCTCCGCTCGCTCCTTCCCAACCTCCTGTCCTCATCTCAATCCCTCTCGCAACCTCCGCCCCTTCACCCATCCCTCCTCGCAACCTCACTCCCTCACCCCATCCCCTCCTCGCAACCTACTGCCCCTCCTCCCATCCTCTCTTCGCAACCTCCTACTCCTCATCTCTGCCCCTCCTCGCAACCTCCCCCCCTCTTCACGCTCTTTGCAACACCCTCTACCGGCCATGTTCCAATTCCCACAACTCTCCGTGTATCACCCTTCCACCATTCTCCTTCTCTCCTCTCCTTCTATTCCCTTTCTCACATCTCCCTCCCTACTTTTCTCTCCCCGTTTCCATTTCCTTCTTTTTCTCTTGCGCATCTTGCTCCCCGTAACACCTAACACCCTTCCCGCTTTCTCCTTCTCCCATCCGTCTCCTCTTTTCCTTCCACCTGTATTTTTTCCGCAACCCGCTTCTTGCACCGATCCTGATCTCCACAACTTGCTCCCAGCACCCTCCTCAATTCCCATTGCCCTTATCTTGCCTCACGCTGCGCGGGTCGCACCCCCTGCCACCGTCTTGCTTCCGCCCGCACTGCCGCCGCCTGCTTCACCCCAACCGAAGCCCAGTGCCTCCGTTTACGCAGATGTTGCCAGTAGGCTTTGACGTAGCGCCCGACTCGAAGTGAATCTGTGCAAGCAAACGCTTGGCCTGGGTACGGCTCGGGGAGTCGTGTTGCTGGTTCTGGGCGAGTCTTCACGCACCTAGATACCTCCGTCTCCGTCATGCAATAATGACTTTTGGATCATCGTATAAAAGAAGTAATCCAGATCCAGCCCGGGCGCGGGGGAGGCTCATGGAGATTCAGACTCCCTCTCCAGAAGTCGATACGTATTCAAAAATATAATTTATAAGAATATTCTACATAAGCGAAAGTCATTTATTATATAGGTGTTGTGGTAAGATATCTTTGGCATTTGGAAAACGACTAGTTTTGTGGCTTCCATCTAGCAGACAACTGATGATGATGGCTAAGCCATCGAAAGCTGCTATTGAATTAAAAAACATTGTTGGCAATGACAACATCTTTAATTATTATCATTTATTATATACATTGATTACGACTTAAATAACTATTCACAAGCAAATAAAATTAAATTTTTAACTCAACGCTTAAATGAAAACTAATAAGAAATCATTAGGTCGTATGAACATTACACCTACAGTCCCCCTTCACAGAAAAATGTCGGTGGCATCACACTATGATAGGCATACCACTGAATGTGTACGAGGACAGTACCCACACGTGGAGCAGCTAAAGGTCGTCTTTATAGCCTTCTCTTCGGTTCGATAATGCCTTCTCCGCCATCTAAATATCGCTGGTGGTCATTGTGACGTCGGTTCTCCGCGTCCTTGTAGTTTGCAGGACTCCGGGATGGCGTCCGCGCTGACCATCGAAGCGTCTGCGAACGGATTGTCGCACCGCGGATGATTCCTATTGGTCCACAAGAACGAGGAGACGAGAGGGCGGGTGATACGAGAGCAACACTGGAAAGATGGCACCGATCTGTCGGTATATTCTGATATAATGTACATGTGGAGCATTTGATCGGGAAGGATAGTGCACGCCCTCGGGGCAGGCTTAGTTTATCATGCAGAGGAACCTGCGAAAAATTTGAGTCAAGTCCAACACGATACAAATTCTGTCACTCTTAAAGATTGAATTGCATTTGCGCCTTTTGTTGTATGGGGATTTTAGATACTATTTTTTTCTTTATTTGAATTAAACAAATAAATATTTCTCCAAACTCCTGTGGAAAAATATAAACTCAAGCAACATTATTTTTTCCGAGAAATATAGAGCTACCCAATCGTGGTTAGTGGTTGAAAAATGCTTGGAACAAGACAACAAATGGCACAAAATGAAAACAGGAAAACATGGAAGATTCGCAGATCTGTACAGGATTTAAAAGAAAAGCAATATCATGAATGAATACTAAAAACAAATATTACTCAACTAAAATATCAAACATGCATCCATTTACACTGTAATATTGTTTTAAACCGTATGTTTCTCTTTTAAATTATTTTCAATGTTTGTGGATGTTTAAGCTTTTTATTGTAAGAATTCTCATTGGAAACTTTTAACATTGGTTTTTAGGTTTTTCATTAATTAATGTCTATAAAATGACGTGTTTGGATATGTGGAAGTTATTGTGAACTAACATCGAAAACAAATATTTTTAAAGTCTGGAAATTGCGGTAAATTACTTTCGTTTATTAACACATCATTGTTTACTAAAATACGAGTAATTTCCTACAATAGAAGTCCTTCATATAATGCTAGACACAGTCGACTCACACAAAATGTAGATAATTTTAAAGAAATATTATTAAGATAACAAAGTCACATTTTAAAGAAACATTATATAAATATTTACAAAATTAGAAACGATATTGAAGTTTGTGAAATTCTTTATACTCTAAAAATGTCTTAAAAATAGTCTCTCAATTTTATCGATTTAGTGAACCTCTGAGTAAAATAATGTCAATGTGTTTTGGGGATAAAATGTTAATTTAGTTCGTTCATTTCTAAAATGGTATTATTTCCTACGCTTCTTTGCTCCCACAGCCATTTACACCAATGTAAGAAATATTATGTGATACTCTGTATAGTGCAATGGACGATCTGTGATCGTGGAGGGACTTGCTGTTGGGTGAAGGGCTGTATGCTCGCTCTTCATGAAAATCGAAAAAAAAGTCTAGTGCGCTAGCTCTTGGCCCGTTCACTTGATATATGACACCATCCTTCATTGAAAGGTATCGGCGAAACTGCGTTCGGACCCACTGATAGAAGTCGGGCTTTTGGAAATTTCCTCGAGACTGCACTAGGTCTAACAAATTGGCTGACGATTAACATCCGCCTCTGATAGGAAAAAGGAAGCGCCCTTTACATGAAAATTCTGAGTTGTGCAGGGCGTAATAATATGCGCTTCCTGCTGAAGTGGTTTAATTACATTATTCAAAAAACATTCTCTCGACCTTTCCTGCTGGCTGGCACTAACCCGATTCGAGCCGAAAATTTTGGATAGCATTCTCCATTAGAGAGAATTGAACAGCACTGCTTGAGGTCCCGCATAATGGAACATTTAGATACTCTTATAAATCAGCAACCTACCTCTGTTGGCTAATCATTCTCGAATAGTATAGATTCCTAAATTGGCCACGATGATTTGAGGCAGTATATCCGCTGACCTGGAGTGGCACGACTTGAAAATAAATGCGCTACAATACAACACTTATAGAGATTCATGAGTCTATGTCAAGAACATTCATTTTGACGGCATTGATCACGCATAGCCGGAATTCCATTACCACGCCGTACTCATCGTTCACAGTTGCGTTTAATCGACGGCACTACATCCGACATTCTTTGTTCGTGGTGAGAATAAAAAATGAGCCAATACATCGTCAGGAAACAATCAAGAACGTTGGATTGGTAGAAGGGATTGAACGATAGAACAATTCCATGCGTTTTTGCATTTTTATGCACGCAATTTTTTTTTACTCCGGATCTTTCGCTGACCTTTGTTGAGCAAAATTTTTGCTCGTTCCTTGTCGCGCGGTTTGTTGTACAAATTCACGCATGCGAATTTTTTTGTCGACCAAGAGCCTACGACACAAAGACAGACGAGCGCACAATTACCCCTTTAGTGCCGTACATCACTAAAACACAGGTCACTGGGAGTGGCGCGCCAGGATTTTCCGCGCCCGCTGACACGAATTACATGCGCACACGAAAGCGACGATTGCTCCCAATGCGTTTAGACCGCACGGCCCTCCGCCGCGCTACACAAATGGCGAGCTTGAAAGTGACGTCACGTCCCGCGCCCTCGCGGTAAGGGAAGAGGAGAGACGTCCCAAGGGCAGGAAAGGGAGTCTCAGTATTCATATATAATATATAATATATAATATATAATATATAATATATAATATATAATATATAATATATAATATAATATATAATTTATAATATATAATATATTATATATTATATATTATATACAATTAATTTATAATTTATAATATTATATATATATGTATATAAGAGAGAGAGAGAGAGAGAGAGAGAGAGACGATGGAAAGAATTTTCAGTACCTCGGATTTGAATTATTTCGGTATTGCATCTGAAATGAAAAGTATATTAAGTGAATCAATGAAATATTAATTGCATTTGTTACGAATTATCCTTTGCTCAAATTCCATTAGCAGAAGAAATATTCTTGCGAGATAAAAACTAATCTACCGAACCATTTACCATTGATTTTCTAAGACAGATTTCTTTAAAAAAAACATACAACATTGTGTTTATATCATTCATAAACCCCATTAAAAATTCATATAGAATATTTTTTGTATTGAGATTGAATAATCTAATGAACAGACATATACAGATATTATTATCATCAGACCTATTACCATTTACTACCCTTGTATGTGTGTACTTGGCACGACAGCCCGTGAACGGGCTCACGGCCTAACGGCGACGTCGCTGCCTGGTGGCCAAGGAGGTACGTGTGGTTAGCAAGTAGATATCCCCACGCCGCATTCCGGTCTTCTCAACCTCAGAAGTGAATTTTATCATCGCCAAACAGCAATATATACTGGGGCTTTGCAAGGAAAATGTACCCTTTAGTCTTGGCTCGACCTGGAACGGGACCCGGGGCCGCGTAACGGAAAGAGAGCATGCTGACCAAGAGGTAGCCTCGAGGCCCTTTACTACCATTTAATGGCTATTATAATTTGAACTCATCTAAATCATATGCAAGTGGCCGAATGAGCACCAACCATTCGTTTTTATACTCACAGAAAACTTATTTCGCTGCTAGCATACTAGTTGTAATAATTATTGGAATTAATATGAACATACGCAATACTTGTATTGAACATTTAAAATACAATGCCGATGAGGGATTGGCATCCCCCGGAAATTCTTTGATTATTGAAAGAAAACGAATAGGAAGTGGGATAGGTTTAAAAAAAACTTCATTATTCTGCACTTCTTTGCCGAACGCGTTAGGTGTAAACAAATTACATGTAAACAAATTACTGGAGCGTAAAAATGAACCTGAGTGTCGCTTCTCATATTAAGAATGATCCCAAGAGAATATTCTTGTAGGCAGGGGCACCCTGAGAAAACAAGGGATCTGAGACAATAGGTTCACAGGGGCCCGTTATTTCGAACATAAGCCTCCTCCCCTCAAACACAAACAGAATTCATCAGTCCGTGCAACAAAAATAACTTACAGCGCTTAATTTGAATTAGAAGTAATCACTTTTTGTATGTGATTTGAAAGAAAAAATCGGAAGACCAATGAAATTGGGGTGTGGAGCAAATTGCCCCAACGGCCCCCCTTCTGGGGGCCCCTGCTTGTACGTTTCCATGAACGTGTTCTAAAAATATTGTAACGGATATGAATGTGTTCTTGGGGTACTTATTTTTAAGTATTTCTCTGCCATCGTCGCCTCATCCGTCACTATTTCATGTGTACGCCAAACACTCACTTTCAAGCTCTCAAACTCATTTACAAACAACTGGTTACTGCAAAGTAAAAAAATCACCGGTGCGAAAAAGTGAACATGACTGCCGCGCCGCGTGTTGAGAATGATCCCAAGAGAATATACTTGTAAGTTTCAATGAATTATGTCCTTGATGTAACCTTTTTAAAATGTAATCGGCTCCTAACGTTCGCCGTCCGTCAATATTTCATTCGTACACCATAGCCACACTTTCTGAACCTTAACGTATACAAAACCTCTTAAAGTGCTACTCATCTAGAATGTGCGTACTTGGAGTGTTATGCGTGAGTGAATGTGCGTACTACAGTGTTAACTTTTCTTTTCTTTTTGTGAGTGTTTAAAAATGTTGCGATCTATAATCTCATTTTTCCATGAAGGATGATGACACAACATTCGGTAATTAAAAAGAAATTGATATTCATTATCTTTACAAATTAAAACAAGATCTATTGGAATAATAATGCGCACAACTCTTTTTACTTTCCAAGTCAGTCAACATTCTTTGGTAAGTTAGAAACGAACATTCTCATTACGAAAATTACATCAACCCAGGAATCCCCAATTTCACAGCAATTTTCTCCAGAAATACAGCACAAGAACCTTAGTAACGGAGAGACTTAAACTTAGAACTTTACCCACCAGTATTGTAGATTGTGCAATATAATACGCAATACTCGTAGTGACAGAAGAATATACAAAATATAAACGACAGGCAATTATTTTATAGTGTCTGTTACAAACTTCTAGGGCATGTAGTGCGGACAAAAATGATCACTTTGCTTTACAATACAAGTGTAGCTTGTGAATTTGATATAACGAATTTATGTGATATTTTCCCTTGATTGGCAATCCTAAAATTATTGCTTTGGTTTGGCACGAAATATCTTTGCGTTAGAGAAAGATATGCCAAACGTCAGCGCTCAATGACTTGTGCACTAACCAGGGGTAAATGCCACGTGTAACAGCGTTATTGAAATTTTTCACACTTTTATCCGAAAAAAAGGTCATCTTCAATCTTTTGACATGCCAAGAAGTGTGTAACATTTGTTCTGAGACATTCTGTCAAACGTATTATTTGCAAATTAAATTATGGTAGACACTTGAGGTCAATAATAACTGAGACCCTAGAAACACTTCATTATTTTGTATGGTATCATAATAGAAAATTTCTTGCTCGCTAGCTTTCAGTGCGACACGAGTTTGAATCTCAATAGACAATTTTCGGTGTAGAGTTCACAAGCTTGTAATAATTGGAAAGCTGTAATAATAAAAAAGGTGATAAATTCAGTGATATTTAAAAGGATTTAACATTATCCAATAAAGACAACGCCAATTTTCCCAGTATTTTGAACGTTATCTGAAGACAGACGAGGTTAAGGGGCAAAGTAAACGAAGTCATTAAAAACTATCGCGTATTAAATCTGTTACTGATGTTACTTATTTTATTATCCCGTAAATTGTAACAACTGTCGAATTTGGATATTTTCTTTTATCAAGAAGTTAGTATTTGTAATTTTTCAACTCTGCAATCAATATTGTAAACACTTTATAAAAGTAGTTCGAATGTTCGTTCTAGCTCTTCACAAATTTTAATAGATTTCCGTCAGGAACCTACCCAAAAGAACTGCTCACAATTATTACATGTCTGCTCATGCTATTCGTACATATAACTACAATACATATTATCTTCACCATCAGCTCTTTCTATCCGGACAAGTTGCTACTCGATAGTTTTTGAGGCTATGCCAGACGTTCATTGACGATCAACTCTACTTGCTCTTTTGCACAAAACATTGATGCAATCGGGTTATAAATCAAAACTATAAATTATAACTCAGACCAGACCTTCGTACCTCATTTAACATGTATCGTATCGTTCAATGTATCATAAATAAGCTACACTGTTAAACATTGTATAAACTTATACATAACCCCTTCAAAACAACTCCTTATTTGAAGATTCTTACCCCGCTCGCGAGCGAATACAGATCTCTACCCATTTCCTAATCAGATTTTATAGTGAGTATCATTATTTTATAAAGAAACAAACCCCAGAGTACTCTAAAGGACGTTCTTGTACGACGAGAGCTGATATTTACTAGCGCATCCGTTTCTTTAGTGCCTCGCATCCATGCTGTAGTACACCTGTTACTTTTATAAACTTAACTGAAATATATTTTAAAACTTTCACAGAATTTTCACCAGTCCCTGGGACTATATATTGGTCGCATTAGAGTTTCGAACTTCTCCTCATTAATATAAGAGTAGAATTTGAGAGGAAGCGCGCACTTACTCTCTACTAGAAATTCACCGGTGATACGCCAGCGATACTTACGAAAAATGTAAACAACCTGCGACACATTTTCCTATATTTCTCCACTTTAAAATTATTTTACGGAGTTAGAAGCTTCAAAGCCAATCCTTCTCTTCCGATAAATACTGAGTAATTCTGACGTAGTCTGATAATTAATGAAATTTCGAGTACCAGGAGGGATAATACAAGATACACAGTCAAATACGTTCCTTTGCGTCCCTTGAGACAGATACAAATGGCACAAATGAGTCAGAGCACGGATCCCATCTTACTTAACTTATTCTTTTGACGACAGTATCAAGTCTATCTGCACGAACTTGCAGCTATGAGATCTAAAAACAATAATAGAGGGGTTCTGAGGACAACGTTGTTCTCAAATATTTCTACGCTTTATCAACGTAAGAACAACTCAGTCATCTGAGAGATCGACCGCGTGTGCCGGAGAGTTAATTGTTTAACTACTGCTACTACCCGCCAGTTATAAGATACGGTTCCGGCTGAGATCGCTTGCTTGGAAAGCAGTTGCTTCTGCAGCATTGTTGACCGGGAGATCCCGGCGGTGGCGGAGTTTCGACACTCGTTACCCAGCGGGGTCGAATTCAATCGCTGTCTGGAGAATTCGAGCAGCCCGGTGCACTAAACGATAGTTGTCCGTGGTTTCTCTGACCAATAGTCGGGGAGTGCCGGAGCAGTTTCCCAACCAACGGGCCCCTGATTGCTTACGATCTTTCTTTCCTCTTTTTCGTCCTCTCCTCGCACCTTACTCATAGACTTACACTTACATTCACTTCTCTGCCACTTTTATCCGGAGCGTAGTATTTGTCCCTACTAAGATGATGGCGTATTTTGGTAGATATCTAAAGAGGGGACCCTCGCAAGCCAACGTGAAGACAGTAAATGCCAAATCACGGGAGAGAAACATCTCCACCCCCGGAACTATAGGTGCACTGCTCTCACAGATCTATCTAATCAACAAAGCTGTTGACGCGCACGAAACAATGAAAAGTCTATCGAACATTGAGCACTTGATGGAAATGAACAAACACACAAGATTCACTACCAAACACTTTTTCGTTCGCACAATCGCGTAAGAACGACACAAAAGACTGCATCCAAAAGTGTCGACTGAGTGGTCTGACCCATTTGACGCTGAGCTCCCGTCGGAGGGCGGAGTCAAGGCAGCACTCACCTGTCGGCCGGCACCTGCCTGGGGCCCGCGGCGGCGCGCAGCCGGGCGTCGTCGATGCGCACGATGAGCACGTCGCCCGCCTGCAGCTCGGCGGCGCCCTCCCAGCTCACGGACAGCGGCGGGCAGCCCTCGTCGCCCGCCTGCGCGCCCTCGCCGCACGCCGGCTCGCCCGCCTGCGCAGCCACGCGGGCACGCACGCCCTCAGCGCGATTCGCTCGGCGCGATTCGCTCGGCGCGATTTGCTCGGCGCGATTCGCTCGGCGCGATTCGCTCGGCGCGATTCGCTCGGCGCGATTCGCTCGGCGCGATTCGCTCCGCGCGATTCGCTCCGCGCGATTCGCTCCGCGCGATTCGCCCGCGCCACTCCCTGGGCAGCCAGGGAGCGCGCAGGAAACACTGCATGGCGATGCTGCATTTTAGAAATTGCATTATACTACTCACTTCTTTTCCTAGCACACTACCTTATTCCAATTATCCGTACATCAACTGTATGTATAGTCAATTATTCGGATAGCTTTGGGGAAAGAAAGTATAACTAAACTTACTTTATTGAAACAAGGAGTTGTTTTTATTCAATTGTTATTGCAGTACACTACACATTTCTATATCATTCTAAAATGCAAATGTACTGAAAGGCTCTTTTAACTAACAATTAATACAGTACGTACATTGTACATGCATTACGCGCATTGTTGTCAGTGCAAGTTAATCAATGTGGCCTTCATCTGAGACATGAATTTAACGATGACTGATTTGTCAACATGTTTTTTAATTGTTTATTTTAGTTGAATGTCATTGAGTGTCATGTTTTCTAAAAGGAAACGCGTTGTCTTATCGTTGGCAGAAAAATAAAAATCTTTGACCAAACAAAGGAATAGTAAACAGATAGCTGAGACGTTGTGAACAAATTTAGAAAAAGTCTTCATATTTAAACTTTGTGCCTGTTCTTGAGATTTTGGGAGTTCATTGTGAAAAGCGATAAAAAACAAACAAAAACTACAAAAGGCTTTTGCAGAGGCTCAAACAGAAAGTTCAAGTGGTTTTACAGCAGCAATCATTGGGAAACCTTTCAGGGCCGATTGTTTGCGAAAACACAAAACCGAAAAAACTCAGAATTTTTTATTGAAATTAAGCTACGGAATTTCAAGCCTACGCACGGTATTTGTCTATTGGATTTAAGCGGAAAAATTATCACTAGACCCCAAAACAGTAGACAATTTTATTGAAAAATTCAAAATGGAAGCAGAATCTCATGATCGTAAAATTTTATTCAACGCACATGAGACAAGCCTTTTTGGAAGGCCCCATTTAATAGAAGGGTAGCTATTAAAAGTAAACCTAGTCCTCCTTCTCTTTAAGTTAGTACAAGTCGTGTTACCGTGCTCTATGGGAAACCACAAAATAACCCCTTCTGTTGATATGAAAAATCGAAAAACGTCCAGACATTCAAAAATGTGAAAAAACTTCCCATCTTGCACACAAACTAACCTAATGCGAGGACCACACTGCTGAAAATGAAGGTGGGTAAGTGAAAAATGAAGAAACTGCCCTAACGTAGTGGCGGAAGCACGAAATTGTTTGCGGACAACCAAATTTGAAAAAGCTTGGAACAAATTGGAATGTGTTTTAACCAAAGAGGAAATATGAATGTATGTACTTTGGCACAACTGCTCTTTATGAGCTAAGGCCTACCAGGAGCGTTTCGGCCAAGGGTTAAGGAGTAAGTGAGGTTAGCACATAGTCATCCCTACGCTGTATTCTGACCTTCTCAACCAGTCAAATGAGCTTTCTCATCGTCACACAGCAACAGATACTGGGGCATTGCAAGGAAAACGCACATCTAGCTTTTGCCCCAACAGGGAATCGAACCCAGGGTTACGCCGTCAGAAGCGAGGACGCTAATCATCGAGCCACCGAGGACTTTAAAGAGGAGATACAGAAAGAGAATAAAAAGAGCGTGAGAATGGAGAGAAGAAGAAGAAGAAGAAGAAGAAGGAGGAGGAGGAGGAGGAGGAGGAGGAGGAGGAGGAGGAGGAGGAGGAGAAGAAGAAGAAGAAAGAGAAGCTGAAGGAAACGAAATATCAGCTGAGCGCAAACGGTTTAGGTAGCTCAGGGCAACAACTGGTGAGACTACAGTCCCTCTGACCGGGAAGTCCTAGGTTCTGAGTCCCTATGGTGGAAGAATTTTCGACACTTGTCAGTTTGGTTTAATTCATGTGATGTGTGGAGGAGAATTCTAGTGAGCGGCTCCTCTGATCGGTAATTTTCCGTGGTTTCTCCGGTCAACACCAAGCGAAAGCCGGAGCAGTACTCTACCAAACGGGTCACGGCCCGCGCCATCTTTCTTTCCTTTTCCTTGTCCTATCCTCATCCCTTACACTTACACGCACTTCCCTCCCACAAATGTCGGGAGATTCAATTTAAAATCAGCGCCTACATTTAAAATTTATAAAAATGTAAATTGGTAATACAATTCCCACAAAACCACAAAATAAATAATTTTAAAACATTTATAAAAAAATAATTCAGCCCTAGAAAAGAGTTCATATGCTAATTTGTTATCTGTTTGTAATGGCCCAACACTGGTACCTGATACAATATTAGAGGTTGGTGGTGCCCACTGGTGGGAGATACCCAGTTGGAGGCATCCCGGAAGTTGACGTGTGGGGGCGGCACCGGATCTCACCATCAGGCGGGGAAAATCATCGCCACCTCCCGCGATAAAATCCACCACACTTACGGGACAAACGATCTTAGAAGCTGACGCGCCCGGAAACACTAATGAATCAATCGAACTTGAGGGAATGAGAAGGATCCTTTTGAAGAGTCTTGCTTGCTTGTGATTCTTCGGACTCTGGATTCGAAACTCTCAGTGACGATGGAAGCATTTGTTGCGAGAGAAGAAATTGATGGCCAAGAAGATGACATTGCTATCGAACCAGATACGGAACTCTCAGCTGTTGAGACGTTTGAGCGTCAAGAGACCATCAAATGGATGCGAGACGTGGACGCACAAAAATAATTTAAAACAGCAAATCAACTGTCTCTTACCCACATGATTAGAAATTGACACTTTGTGTAAGAAAGAGAATGTAAACGTTGTTTTGTGGTCATTAAATTAATATACCACTAGCATGTACATTAAATTTTGTTTTTTTAACAAATTATTATTTTTAAGATTTAACCAATTATCTGGATATTTAATTTTACGGCCCCAGTCCGGTCCCAATTAATCCGCTTAATTGGAGTTCTACTGCACTCATCCCCCACAGAGTGGGTTTGATCCCGGCTGAGGTAAGTGGGCTTTAGAAGGGTGGAAGATCCGCAGGGGGCAGGGGGTGTTGTACTTGCAGCCATAGTTGAACGCCCGGCGAAATTAAATCCCCCGATAAATCCCGTCCTAATCAGATCCGATGTTAGATTAGCCTGGAAACGTCTCAAGTAAGGGTTAAACATTTCTACATCCTTTGTGGAAGCGGTGCATGGCGGCTAAAATTGGAGTCAAAATTCACAGGCCATGATCCCATAGATGATAGGTGCCAAATTCTCGTAGGCGCAGATTTCTCAACATGTACATCCATGTAGAGAACGCGTAAACGGATCAACCTCCAAGTGTTGGGCCATTACAAACAGATAAAAATTTAGCATATAAACTTTTTTCTAGGGTTGAAATTTTTTTTTATAAATGTTTTAAAATTATTTATTTTTTGTAGTTTTATGGGTATTGTATTATCAATTTACATTTTTTTAAATTTTAAATATAGGCACTGATTTTAAATTCAATCTATTTGTAGTAGGGCCAAAATAGTATTAGAAAAGGTTTAAACAAAACCGTTTAAACAAATTAATTTATATTTTAGTTAATTTTAATAAATAAAATACACAAATTGAACGGAATGTAGTAGTTGAAAAGTTATTACCATAATTTAAATTTTGTTAAAAGTTCTTTTTAATTTTTAAAACTGTCGTCTTAATTGTTTCCAAAATCCACTCTTGCTTCAATTTCAAGCTCAACCGATCTAAAATATCTGGATATTAAAATTGAAAATGGGAATTAAAAAGTAGTTTTTAGTTAATTAAAAATTGAAATCCATTAATTTTTTTCATGTAAGGGTTCTACATGTTCTCGTGGCTAGCTGTTGGTCAGCGTGTTTCCTTTCCACCACGCGGCCCTGGGTTCGATTCCCCGTGAGGCAAGATTATAGAGTGCATTTTCCTTGCAATGTCCCAGAATACGTTGCTGTGTGACGATGAGAAAATTCACTCTTCAGGTTGAGAAGACCAGAATACGGCATGGGGATGTCTACGTGCTAACCACACGTACCCCGTTAACACATGGCCGCGAGGCAAGAACGTTCCCGAAAAGGGGCCTGAGCCCATTCCCGGGCTGACCCGCCAAGTACATACAAGGGTACTTCATAGGCTTTATTTCGGGAATTTCATTAGAGTGGAAACTCAATATTTCAAAGCTGAAGTGAAAAAAAAAACAATTGTAAATTATCTAGTTAATATTATTGAGTAGCTTGACTGACGTTTGAGTTACTGGTCACTTGGTTTACTGAAGGTGAAAGGTTAAGAACAACTTAAGTTATCTATTAATTCGAGTTACTTATGTTCGGGGTGAACTGTAATAAATGTTCTATTCCTATAGAATTAATTCAATTGAACTGTATTTCAAAAAAAATTATATTTTTTTGTGTTGTCACCAAACACGTGGTTTTGCCAGAAGACTTATTGTTTCAGTCGTTGATACCGAAAAATCGAATGACAGCAAAACGTCTCCTACCCGTCTGTTCGCGTGTGGACAACGCTAGCGCCTAACCGTTCAACCGATTTTCTTCAAATATTAAATTCTTCCTTCGATCTAAATTTACTCAAGCCTTTGGGAGTTTGAAACGGGTATTTGGATTTTTGAGAGTACTTTACATGAAGCTTCAAAAACATTTTCAAAACTTTCTCAAAAATGGCACCAAATTTGTTCATTAATCTCTGACCCGGGATAGCGGAAAAGACGCTTAAGAGAATGGTGCAGTTCTCATGTTCGTTGAAATCACAATTATTTTTGAAAAATGCAAAAGAGCCACTCCATTTTTTTCTTTAAAAGTTTCTACGGATAGAAGAATGGATGCTTAAAATAATGGTGCGATCTTTATATTAGTTGAACTCTCTACATTTTCGTAAATTGAAAATTTAGAAATAGTACGAGAAAATATGCGCTGTTGTAAGCGCTAATTTAATCTCAATTTAATCTATATTGCAGAACTACGTCGATAACTATGTGTTACATCGCGAAGCTGAAAGAACTCCTAAACTTTTTAAAATTTTTCTGTGAAGTGTTATTAATAATAGAATTGTTGGAGAATAATTGGCTGATAGAATACCGATATTGGATTTGTACTATTAAACCACATTTATTGTTCGACGAACTGTAATTATCACCGTAATTGTAGGTATTCAGGCGACGCATGTGAATAAAAAAATTGCTTGATTTGTTTTGTTATTGATGTAAATAAACTCCATTAAAATGAGTCATCTGAAAAATGAATTAAGTTCGCGGTCATAGCAGCAGAAGTTAAAATGGAGCAAGCTTTTCCGTTCAGATTTTAGCATTGTTCTCAAATCGTAGAATTGCTCTTCAGTCATTCTGAGCCAAGGCTGTTTTAACAGTATTGGAGACCGTTGGGCCAAGGTTCCCCTATTCTTACTTTCACCATATTTACTTACTCCCAATTTCGATGATGAAGAATAAAGAAAACTCTATCCATTCACATTATATTTTACATTTATATTTTTGTAATATTTTGAAAGAATTCCTTAGTGTTTCAATTGAACAGTCAAAGAAATCAAACAAAAAATTTAAACATGTGTATGAGTAAGAATAACACATTTATAATTATATTGAAGACTACAAATTAAATAGTTTTCATTTTTTATCGAAATGTACAGTATAAAATTGAAACGCATCAACCATCCTCACTCCATATTATAAATATTATCCATTGTTGCGTGACATCACTCTGTTGGGCCCAGTTTTTTCGTCTAGTTTAATCATACATCACTTTTTATACGTTTTTATTTTGTCCTTTGAAAAATGTAATATTAAATAGTTGTTAATTGCTATGGGGGCCACTTGATCATTAGGAGCCCTTCGGTCCCATGCGTTAACTGCGCAACACTGCTTAGAGCAAATATTTATATCAAGTTTTACGAGTATATTGGTACACCGGTATTAAAATTACAGTTTTTGAAATTACCACGACTACCACATGCTACGACATTATTTGTAATTGTATGCATGAAAATGAGTAACTTAAGTCAATCTTGCTTTGCATTCGGAAATGCGAACACAAATTCCTTGATTCATTGACTACTTGTTTAAAGCGCTCTCAAAATATCTTTATAACTCGAACGTTTCTTATTTTTTTCCATTACTTCAAAGTATCTGCGTATGTAGTTCCGTATTTCAAAGACATCAAAGCACAGCTTGTGCCTTCCGCATCCTTGAGATTTATTGATGCGTTTCAATTTTATACAGTACAATTCACTAAAAAATGAAAACTATTTAATTTGTAGTCTTCTTCAATATAATTATAAATCTGTTATTCTTAGTTATACATATATGTTTACATTTTTTGTGTGTATACTGTAAATTGAAATACTAAGATTAAATATTTAATGAAATACTAATATTAAAATTTACATATATATATATATATATATATATATATATATATATATATATATATATATATATACATACACACATATATATATATATATAAATTTATATTAATATTAATTTAATATTAAAATATATTTAAAAAATACAAAATACAATGGGAATTGAAGGGGTTTTTCTTCATATTTCTGCATCGAAAGAGGGGGGTGAAATACTGTTAAAGCAGCCTTGGCTCAGTTACCGGAGAGGGCAGCAACGTACCATCAATTCTGCAAAATATAATTCAACAAGAAATTATCATTTTCTATCAGATTGTTTCGAAATTTTCATGCATGTAAACAATTATCTAGCAACGCATTCAATTGCTTGACCAGAAAACACTACAGAAAGTATTAAAAGTAACTTCTTCAAAGTGATAATTACAAAATTTATATTTTGAAGTTTTGTTATTTTGAAATGACAATGTCAAGAAACCAATATCACGACTCAAATGCAGCGATGGCGAAGAAAAATTATTCAGCTAAACACCCAGCGTACTTCTTAAAAATATTATACTAGCTTATTTAGAAGAATCACTCCCGAACATAATTTTGTAACTGATTAAAATATGTAGATTAATAATATTATTTTGCTTATCTCAACGGCAAATTCGATAATTTTGAATGATGTAGTAACGTTTGAGTAAATTTGTTTTATAAATGGACTAACGTCTCTTTAAAGAGTCCACATTTAACAGAGATGTTAAAAGTTTCTGTTGAGAATGTTAAACTATTTAATTTATCTACAGTTTCCTAAAAAAAATACAATGTAAATTCTAATTTATCACAAGCGTTAAAACACAAGCGTTGGTACACTTTAGCTACATCTTCTCTGTCCCTATTTAGTTAATAATAAAAGAAAACAGAAAATGAAACAGTTTACAATGCTCCAAGAGCTTATACTAATTCGCGTTTGGTAAAAACAAAGTCGTTTTCCGCTGGTCCGGATGGCCGACATCGCTAAGGCAGTTGTGCCGTACCCCAGGATCGCGTGTTCGAGTCCCGCCTCGGCCATTGTTGTATTGTGTTCGTTCTTTCGCCCCATATCTTCGTCATCATCATCATATCGTGTCATCCTCATAGTTACCATACCGTTACAAGCAATAGTGGTCGCTAATGACCTACATGTTGATGCGACTTTAAATAAAAAGTATTTTTTCTATTTCACGTGACCGAATACTTGAAAGTATCTATAAATTACGAAACGAATCAAGAAAGAAAGCAGTAACTAATCAATGCTCATTTGAATATGCAACATTAATTCATTTCAACTACAGGATTTTGCTTGGGAGACAGTCGTAATCTAATGTCACCTTAAGTAAACATTTGCGTCACACGTC